CCCCTTTATCTCCAGGATCAGCTCCTCCAGCAAGCACTTCTCCTCCAACAGCCTGGCCAGGTTTTCATTGATCAGCAGCAGAATCTGCTTCTCTTCCTCCTCCAGCTTCTGGAGCAGTAGCTTCTCCTCATCAGCCAGCAGTCGATGCAGCTTCCCAAACTCACTTACAATCCTCTCCCGCTTTTTCTTTACTGTCTCCTTGGGATAAGAAGATTCATGGGGTGAACATTATCTAGGCAGCCAAGACAGAGCTGGATGTTCTGGCATCCATGCCCAGAATCAGGCCCTGGGAAAACACTGCATTTTTGTGATAAATGCGTGAATTTGAAAACCAGCCAGAGACAAACTTGTGCTTCCACCTCATTGTAGCTCCGCTCCACATCCTCAGTTTACCAGCAGTGGGACTTTGCCTGGGGCATTTCTGCTCAGCAGGACCCTAGAGGTCTGGGCTGTGCTGGGCTGCAAGGAGGTGCCCTTAGGTGTTGGGGTAGGTTTTTATTACAACTCATACCTCCAGCCAAATCCAGGCTAATAAACTGCTTGGGCAGGTGGACAATGCTGGAAATATCCCCAGTAAAGGGCAAGAGGTAGAAAAGTAAAAAAATCATGGAATGGTTTCAGTTGGAAGGGATCTTAAAGAACATCTGCTTCCACCCCCTGCCAGGGGCAGGGACACCTTCCACTAGACCAGGTTGCTTCAAGCCCAATCTAGCCTGGCCTTGGACACTTTCAGGGATGGGGCAGCCAAAGCTTATTTGGGCAACCTGTGCCATGGCCTCAGCACGCTCACATGGAGGAATTCTTTCCTTATATCTAATCTAAATCTCTTCTCTCTTAGTTTAAGACGGTTCCCTCAAGTCCTGTCTCTATCTGCCATGTAAAGGAAGCCCCGGGGCTGTGGAGGGATAGAAAGGCAGAGCCCAGGAGGCTCCTCAGGTTTCACTACAAGGTGAAGAGCCAGCAACTGGCAGGGTCTGCCAGTGCCTTAGGGCTTTTTACTTCATCCCTAAAAGCTGATTGGAAACCTGGAATTGCAGAAAGACACTGCAGTGAGCTTAGGCCAGGAAACCTCGGAATGAAGAAGATAAAGGAAAGAAAATTGAACTCCTTTTTTTTCCCCATCCAAGTACACCATTCCTTGGATGTGAGTCATGAGGACTTGATAAGTCAGGACAACCTCTTTCCCCGAAGCATTCACATGGAACTTTTTTGCTCTTTTTGCTATAAAAGCATAACCAGAGGAAACTGGAGGCAGCTGAGCCACAACCCTGAGCCTTGACTCAGGCAGATGGGAAGACAGTGACACAGCTCTCACAATTTCTGTCCCTCTGCCCCAGTGGGGACAGAGGGCTCATAGGGACCCACCACCACTTGTCTGGACTGCCACTGACAAGGGAGCTGAGAAAAAAACTAGGGGACTTCAGAGAAACCTGTTTTCCCTGCCAGAGCTGATTAACCATCCTCTCAAATTCAGGGCTGGATAACTCATCCAGCAGTTTCATTTCCTTTTCTGCAGTTACTTTTACTTTCCAGCTTTCACCCCAAGAGACTTGGAATGCAGATGTTTGCTGGCGTCTGCTCTTCCCAGAACTGTCTGGAGTGAGGCAGAGTTGCAGTAATTCAGCTTTTTTTTTGTTATGAAAACACTTTTTGTTCCTGTTCCACACAGCTCATGCCTGGCTTGGAACTTAAGCACATGTTGTAAAACAAAGGGCAATAACAAATAGCCCATGTCTACTTGTTTAACCAGCACAAAGTCCTCATGATTCCAGGGACTTTGGCATGCTGCTCCTTGCAAATCTTTTTATAGAGCCGCACACGGTTACTGAGCCTGGCTTCCAGCATTGCTCATACATGTGACAGCAGAACACAGGGACACAGCCTGGAGACAATGATAAATCTGTGTCCCCAGACAAGATCATTCTGGGTGACTTTTTTTTTAAAAATCATGATATCGCTAAAGCTTATTCTTTAAAAATTAAGACAGGCACCTGCCTTGCACTCCTGGGTTTTCATCCTTTCAGCTGACTCACGCTTCTTCACCTCCTCCACTTCCTTTGAAAGAGTCTCCAGAGATTTCTGGAGTTTGACCTGGAAAGAGGAAAAATGAGCTCAACTCACCCCAACAGCACCCACTGAGCACTGCAAGCTGGCTGGGTCCCCTCTTCCTGAGGGAAGACACTGACCCAGTGCCAGGCAATGCCAGGCACTGGCACCCAAACAAAGCAGCTTCTTCACTCCGCTCACAGCATTAACCCTCCCCATGCTGCACAGGTTTCCCCTATGTTTTTCCTCACTATTAAGGTTCTGGAGATCAAAGTGACGGTGCTCTTTCAACGCTGGGGTGAAGGGGGGATGGTGGCACTGCCAGGATCATAGCTGGGATGTGGGGTTTGGGTGCCAGCATCCCTCCACCACGGCAAAATGTCCTCTGGGACCTACGGGCTCAAGTCCTCCAGGGTATGTGAATGGATAGGGAGCTAGGCTGCGTCCCTGATCTGGATGGAAGGTGTGAGCCTTGGTCCACCAACAATTTGGAAGATAATGGGGGTGTCCAGCCTTATCCCTGCTGCGAGGGCGGCTGTGGCAGGGTCACCGTCTGTGCCAGCCCTCCTTCTGCTTTCCCAGCGATGCCACTGGCCGTGCTGGAGTCACCGTCTGTGCCAGCCCTCCTCCTGCCTTTCCAGTGATGCCACTGGGCATGCTGGGGTCACCGTCTGTGCCACCCCTCCTGCTTTCCCAGCGATGCCACTGGCCGTGCTGGGGTCATCGTCTGTGCCAGCCCTCCTTCTGCTTTTCAGCATTGCCACTGGCTGTGCTGGAGTCACCGTCTGTGCCAGCCCTCCTCCTGCCTTTCCAGCGATGCCACTGGGCATGCTGGGGTCACCGTCTGTGCCACCCCTCCTGCTTTCCCAGCCATGCCACTGGGCGTGCTGGGGTCCCGGTGGCCGCACACCCGGTGCCAGAGCGCCTGGGGCAAGACAGGGACCCGGTGCTCAGCCTTCCCCTACCTTGTAGACGTGCGCCGCCTCCTCGATGGGGTAGACGGTGTGCGGGCGGTGCTGCAGGGACTCCCGGCACACCACGCAGATGGGCTCCTCGTCCTCCTCGCAGAACAGCTTCAGCCGCTCGTCGTGCTGGGGGCACAGCGGGGTCCCCGGCTCCAGCCCGGGCCCCGCGCCGCCCCGCAGCCCCAGCTGGCGGATGCTCTCCACGATGTTGGCCAGCTGCCGGTTGGGTCGGAAGCCGCTGCGGTGGCAGGAGGCCCGGCACTGCGGGCAGGAGAAGGGCCCGTCGGCCCACAGCCCCTTGTCCTGGCAGTGCTTGGCGATGCAGCCTCGGCAGAAGTTGTGGCCGCAGTCGATACTGACCGGCTCGCTCATGTACTCCAGGCAGATGGGGCAAATGGCCTCCTCCTGCAGCCGCTCCAGGGCACCCGCCAGCGCCATGGTGCCCGCTGGTCTCGGTCTCGCCGGGCAATTCCCTCGTCAGCCAGCACAGGCGGGCACGGCTGGCACAGCCCGACGGCGAGGAGGCACCGGCAGTGCCATGAGAGCCTGGGGACGAGCCGGCCCCGCTCCCGGGAGCACCGGCCACGGAGCCTCCGTGCTGCTGGGGGAGGAGCTGGCCCCGGCCGGGACAGCTGCAGCCAGCCCCAAGGACTGGGACTGCCTCCAGCCCGGCGGGGCAAAGCCAGAGAAAACCCCGCGGGGACAGCGGGACAGATTGGGGAAGCACCAGGAATAACCCGTGGCCAGAGACATCCCCATGGACGGTGGTGGAGATGGGGTCGGTCTGGTTATGGCTGAGCTCGGTAGAGCCCCTGAGGCACTGCCCGCTGGCCAGAGATGTTGGCCGAGGTAAAGGACCCCGTGCCACACCAAAAGCTGTGCCAAAATATCCCCCGTGACAGCCACCCGCTGCAAAGAATCGGGAGTTTGGGAATGTGCCGCGGCAGGGAGCAGGCGGGACAGGCAGGATGTGAAGTGAGATCCCTTGCATGCACAGAGGGGCTGGGGGACAGCCAGATGTCACCTTGTCGGAATCTGAGGTACTGATGATTCCGAGATTGTAGAAAGTCTCTGATCCCCACTGCCAAAGAAGAAGCCGTAATTCGTCTGTGCTGGTTTCCAGGTTGTTTATTCTGTTTATCTCTCACATGTTCTGCTGCCCTGCCCAGCTCTGTCCTGCAGGGCAGCGTGTGGGGCTCTGCCCTCAGTGGGATGTTACAAACATTAAATACCAGAAATTCCCTGGGCTGGACTTACAATAACGTGCCAATATCTGTCACCTACGTTGAACAGTGTGTCCCCAGCCTGAACCAACAGAAAAATGCCAACACCACAGTGAAACATGGAGGGCATGAAGAAGGAGAAAAAGGACAAAACACACCCAGCTTCCTCCATCTTGTCCCCTTTGAACCCCTTATCTAGAATCCTAAAATTTTACTTTTGCACCCATGCCACACTAATTATTACTTATATCAAACACTCAGAGCTTGTAATTCATGCTGTAAGATTGAAAACTCTTTTCCATGGACAGAAATCACAGACAGTGCCTCTGGGGGCTCTGTCCAGGGGGGTTCCTGACCCCTGCCAGGGTCCCAGACCTTCCAGGGCAGCCAGAGGGATGCCCTGGACTCCCACATCACCCCATCACCCACGGACCCTCGAGTATCAGCCCTGACCCCATTCCATCCATTGCTATGCACCCCAGTCTCTGTAGAGCATCCCAAGAACCGCTGAGAGAAGTTGCAAGTTTTGCTCCTTTTTATTATACAAAAATAACTTCAACACATTCAGTACAAAGGAGAATGAAAAGTTTTACTGAAAATGTCAAATAAATTAAGACTGCCTTTGCATGACCTTCCATAAAAGAGCTAAACACTGAGTTGAATACCCTGCCAAATTCCCAGGCAATGAGAAAATAGAATATGTCATGGATGTGTCCACGAGAGCACGTCCTTGCAGAAGTGGTGCTTGGAGAGAGCAGGGTATTGCTCATCCACTGTGCTTATGGTCCTTTAATTGATTCATTATGTCCTGGACCCACTTGTCATTAGGGTTGGCACAGACCAGCTTGTCCTTGATGGTGGTAAATCTGGAAAAGAAAATCCAGTGAGGAGAGGAGAAGGAAAAGAAAACAGAGAGGAGAGTGGGACCACCTGCTCCACACCAACAGTGACACCCATAAGACACCTCTACAGGCTGCAAAACAGCCCTAGGGAAATGGGGTGGGGGTGGCTCCACGTCCTTACAGGTGTTCTGCTCTCTGCACTTAAAACACTTTTGTCCCCAGCATCTCTATGTCCGGGACACCATCCTGGCTGGGTCCACTATCTGGGGTGAGGTGGGATGACCAGCAAAAGCTCTTTTGGCTCAAATCTAATAAGGAGGTCCACAAACTGGTTGCCTTGGATGTGGGATTGCCCTCTGATACGTTCCCAGGCTGTTCTCACATGGGAGAGCCCTGCTCAGTGCTTTTCCATGTCAGGATGAGGTATGATGTGGGGTTCCCTCACACTGTCAGGACAAGCAGGATCCTCAGAAGCAGGAGATCTACTTACATCACAGCTGGTGGAGAGCAGTGGCTGCCTGTGTGCTCATACTTTACCACACGGCTCAAGGGCAATGGTCTGGTGATGTACTCAACACAGCAGGGACCATAAAAATTGAGAGAAACTGGAAGAGAAGTTTTCTGTTACATCAGACCAGGAAAAGTGCCAGTGGGGAGAAGTATGGTCAGAAGATGAGAAGATTCCCACTGGAAGAGGTGTTGCTCCCACAGTGGGCTCCCACCACAGCCATCTTCCCATCAGGGAGCCCAGGTAAGACAGGCCTCTACTTTCCTACAGCAGATGCTAGCAAGAGAGAGCTGCCAAGCATTACTAAACCTTATACAGCAGACAGAAAGAGGAGAGAGTTCCTGGAGAGGAGAGATTGGACTCACTTGGAGAAGAGGTGGCCTGGTAGCAGACAACAACCACAAAAAGTACAGAAAGGGCTGCTGTGAAGGTCTTCATGGTCCTGTTGGGCGGAAATGAATTGTAGGAGTGAGGCTGGACTGTTGCAGGGTGTCCCTCGCTGTGCCTGGTGTGGGATCCCTGGGTTCAGCCCTCTTTATAGAAAAAGACAGCAACCAAGGATTACCAAAAACAATGACACATTGGAAAAAATGCAGTGTCAAAGATACCACGCAGCCCCGCAGAGGAAACCATTCAGAGCCCCGATGACAGCAGCGTCCTGACATGGCACAGGGTATGATACCATGGGTGATAAGATACCATGAGAGGACAGAACAGGATATGACCTGTCATTTCATTTCCCCTGACTTAAGGGCTCTGCAGAAAACCCAGAATTAGTAATTCAGAAGATCAGTAGGTAGACCTCTTGCCTAGAAGTCACAGCAGTGGATGAAGGCCAACCATGGTTGTCACGCACTTGTGTTTCCCAGAACATCTGTGTCACGGACCAACAGATCTCACCTCTGCCACAGCAACTGGAGCAGGGAAAGTCTGAGAGTCAGGCTGACCACCGATGTGCCCACCCAGCCATGCTGGGTCCCACTTGCAATGGGGGCTTCCTTGTGGGACTCTGAAGACATAAAATGCATAAATGTGCAGAGCAGAGGGTGGAGCATGGTGCAATTCCAGACCTGGGCTCCTCTTATGTCCTTGAGCATCCCTTGCAACAAATCTTTAGGGAACCAGTTCCGCTACATCACAACTTCTCAAATACTAGTGACAGCTAAAATACTATGCAGTTCTTCATGGACATGGGAATCGGCCACTGATGCCCACAGAGAATTTGAGGAGCTGATGACCATGTTAGCAGACCAAAGCTGACAAAGATGGTTATTTGGTTCCAGCACTGTAGCACTAGCACCCTCCTGACACTGTTCGTTCATTGTCCCAGCAGCCAACCACACATAGAGAAAAGATTGACTGATTTAGTGCACATTGCTTGGGATGGGAATGCACTGTCTCTCTCTGCACTGTCAGAAAACTATTGGAAATGTTACATCCCTCCAGAAGGGCTCTGCGCTTTCCCAGGCAAAGGTTTGTGGACAAAGCCTCAGAAGAGTGGAGGAAGAGAAAAGTCTCCATGGTGCTAGGAAATGTATCTGGGTGCTGGGCAACCACAGCCACAATGCAAAAGCAAGAGGAGCAAGCTGCTTTTCCTGGTGGTCCAATAACAAAAGTTGTCTCACTCCTCTATGGAGGAGGATGATCACAAAATAGAATCTCCCACCCAAAGTGGGGTTCCTTGTAGGAAGCCAGAAGAGGAAATCAGAGGGAAATGAAGATATTCCCTGGAAGGGTGGATTGCAGGCCTGGGGTTCTCAAGTGTTCCAGGGCATGTGATAGCTAATCAGCACATCTCAGGAGACTGAACTCCATGGAAAAGTGAGGCAGACTCATTGGAGGGTGCAGGATGCTGCCATGGTGGGGTTTGTTTTACATAAACCTTTTTCTCTCCCTACAATACTCTTACTAAGCATGAACAAAACTGAGCCTGGGTGAGACCACAGATGGTGCTTTGGTGCTAAGGAGGTGCAGCTACAAGCTTGGGGAGTGGGCAGCTGAGGAGGACCTGCCCATGGAGACCTGGGAGCATAGGGCATGTTGCTAGGTTTCTGGAAAGACATTTCCTGAGCAGAGACATACCTGCCCCTTCCCACAGAAGGCAGGCAGGCTCCATACAGCCCATGGATTCTCTGCTGCCATCACAACCCAGTCCCCAGCTTAGCCTTGGCACATCCATTCTCTTCTCTGAAGCTCTTTCTCCATGGATTGGCTCGCTTTAATCCCAGCTCGTGTTAAGGGGTTAAGCTTCCAGAGTGAGAGTCAGTTGAAACAGTCGGAATCAAGGCTGAGGTTTTACTTGTGAAAAAGACTCAGAATATCCTGCTTCAAACAGCTGACGAGCTCAGGATTCCTCTGGGATCCTTCCTGCTCTATGACTTACCTTGTTCTCTGTTCCAGAGCCCATTCAGATACTGGGGTGAAACCTGGTACCTCTGAGGGCATGAAGTCCTACCACCATCATGGATCCACTCCCCTCAACACTGCACAGAGTGGGACAAGAAAGGTGTGAAGAGACTGAAACCCAAAGCCCAGCAAGAAGGAGTGCAAGGACAGGGACAAACTGCCTGCACACCTTAGGAGCAGGAATGCTGCTGGAGCTTGGTGTGCCACTCCAAGAGAGACATGGAACAAAGAATGGAGCAACACGGAGATACTGCAGTAATTCTCTGTTGAAATCAAAGCAAATAGAAAGCAAAAGATGGAGTGACACAGTGGTGTTGTGGAGAGACTCCATGGAAAACAATGCAGCTAATGGGAACTAAGCCAAAGGAATGATCTAGATGGAAATCCAAAGCTGAACTTTGATTAACTCAGAAATACATACTACTTTCCTCACCTCTATTTATGCTAATAACTAAAGTCTATCTAACTCCACCTAAACTGTAAATTACATGAACTATAACTTTATCTTTTCCCAAGAAAATAATATAAATATGGCTGAAGTGGGGAGGGAGGTCAGGAGACTCCAACATTTTTGCAGTCAGTTATTATCAGTGGCAACCTCTAAACCCGTCACACTCTTCTCTGAGGAGTGCTAATAAACTGCTCAGTGTGAGTCACAGAATCACAGAGACACAGAATAATTAATGTTGGAAAAGTCCTCCAAGATCAGGTGTTATCAACATCTACTCCTTCTATCCCCTGCTCCTTCCATTTCTACCAACACAATCAGAAACAAACTTGCACAAATTCCTATTGAGACACAACCCTACACTGTTCTGACACAAATCCACACAGGGACAAGAATAAAACTGAGAGGAGGAGAATAGACTGACGAATGAGCTGGAACCTCCTCACTGATGGCTCACACAAACACAGCCCAGCTCAGAGCAGCTTTAGTTGAGTGTTCTGCATATTCAACTACAGGTTTGATTGAAATTTTTCAAAACAAGATTTATTTTGAAAAATCAGTATTTTATAGGAGGTATATAAATGTGCCTCAACATTGTCAATGAAGTCTCCCTCCTTTCGGATGTACCATGCTGTATTTCCTGCTTCCATTCAACCAAAAGGAATTCTTGGAGGTTTCGACTCCTCTGTTATTTCCCCTATTCACTGTTTTCCTCAGCTTTGTTTCTTCCTTAAACATTCTGTATTCTTGCTCCTTCCTACCAAGACAAATAATGCAAACCTCTAAATATTTTGTTTTCTAAAACCTTCTCCATATTATACATCCTAAATAGTGGCTATTTATGGAGTCTGTAAAACCTCCACCTTATGGTGTGCTTCAGCTATAGATAGAAACCAAACACAGTATCTTTGGATCCATCACCAGGACAGTTTGGGGATGAGGGAGGAAACTCAGCCCTGAGGGTAGCCTGCTCCACCACACCACCTCCTGGGCTGGAGTAATGTCTGGGAAATCACTTTATCACAGTGCTCCTGGGAGCTGCCGGATCACAACTGTGGGAAACTGGGTTTAACTGTGAGCAAACCAGTTGGAAACAGAAGAAAAATTACTGGGGCCAGAGATCCCAGGGTGGTGCAGCTCCAAGCAAGATGTCAGATGAGAAGAAGTACTTTCAAGGAGAATTTAGACTTTCCACGTGAGAATTGAAGTCTGAAAGATGATAAGTGGCCTAGAAAGAGGGACAAAATGAATAGTCACTGTCTGTCCCAGAGCAGGAACCACAGATTATTCAATTAGTCAATTATTCAATGGGCAAGAGGAAGGTTCAAAAGGAACAGAGGGAGGCAGCTCTTCACATGAGGAGCTCCTTGCCAAGGGACACGATGAGCACATGGAAATTTCCTTGAGCCTGAGCTTGGATTTCAGGGTGACAAGCTTGAGAAGGTTTGGAAAATGAGAATGGTTTGGGGCTGGAAGCACACTCCAGGGTGCAGCACAAATATTGATCTGTCTCTTCAAGGGGTCTGCTGTGGCCACATCTAGAGGTATCAGGGATCCTTAGTCTACATCCTCTGCAACTGTTCATCTTTGATTCCCCAGGGCAACTGGTCCAACAGGACCATCAGGGCTACATAGCAGCTTGTGAAATTGCATTGAAATCCCTGGACTGAAATCTACAGGCACACCAGGATGTGCCTCCAGATAAATATTTTTGGTAAATGTCAGTGGAAAGACTCCAACAATTTCTAAGCACACAGCAAGGCAGAAATAAATTGCTGCAGTCCATGCAATTTTCCAAGACAAATTTGGGGTAGCTATAAAAGCTTCACTTTGTGACCAAGAGCCTAAAAGAGCAGGAGGTGGCTGGATGCCATGTTGGAATGTGGCCCTCACAGATACGTGGTGGCACTTCCCAGGACAGCCAAATGATGCCTCTGCTGCAATTCCTTTGTGTCCCCAACAATGTACTGAGCAGCAACTGACCTGGAGCTGAGCAGGGCTTGTCCAGCAGCTGCAGCACAGCATGACAGGTTTAGCCACAGTTCAGAGAAAGAAAAATAAAACCATTTGGTGTTGGGTTTGAGACGGGCAGGACCTGAAGCTGCCAAGCACCAGAATGACAGTTGCATTGTCCTTGCACACTCTGCCACCTGTTGTCATCAGCTGGAGGTACAGGGGACATCTGCAAGTCAGGCCATGGAGTTGCAGGAATCATGAAAACAACATTTGACAAGGGTACTGGTGGATGTTGGATCATGGAAAACATAGAAATCATGGCGTCATTCAGGTTGGAAAAGACCTCTAACATCATTGAGTACAGCACTCCCACCACTAACTGTAGCCCTAAGCATCACATCTCTATTTCTGTTAAATCCCTCCAGGGATGGTGACTCCACCACTGCCCTGGGCAGCCCATTCTGATTCTTGACCAGTCTTTCAGTGAGGAAATGTTCCTTAATATCCAACCTGAACCTCCTTTGGTTCAACTTGAGGCTGTTTCCCCTTGTCCTATCACTTGTTCCCTAGGAGAAGAGCCTGACCCACACCTGGATCCACCCTCCTGCCAGGGAGTTGTAGAGAGCCA